CTTGTCTATGCGTTTTCTGCTTTCAAATCCCCTTGTGCTGCTGCTTCTGTAGAAGTGAAAAATTCTAAAAGGACATCTTCATAGAAAAGAGAATTACTACTCATTTTTATTACTGTCTTACTCATCCAGAGATCCGTACCCATTTTGAAATGTCACTTTTACAAGTTCTTATGTTGATGCTTGTGTCATTTTGTTTGAAATGACACTTTTTCAGTTGGTTGTTTTGTAGTGGTAAAGATATTATGTGGAAGAAAGCTGTGCTTCCAGGCAGCACATTCAAGATGCGTGATTGTGAAACCAACTATTATGACTTACTCCCTTCTTACTGCTGCCCTGAGGAGCAAAAGACTTTCCATTTTTCCTACACCCTTAGTAGGCCAAAGATCATAAGACCCAGCAATAAGAATTTGCAAAGAGTGTCTTCAGAGCAACAATTCTTCCTCCCAGCTTGGGGCACTACAGCCTGGTCAGCCTCACGTTAGTCTCTGGGGAAATTATGGAGGGAGTCTTCTTGGAACACATTTCTGGGCACAAGAAGATGGCAACTGGGAACAGCCAGCTTAGATTTACCAAAGGTAGTCCTCACTGCTCTCTACGTGGCTACATTTGTAGATGAGAGTGGTGGGTGTCATTTACCTTGGCTTTAGCAAGATTTTTTACACTGTTTCCCCCAGCATACTTCTGTCCATGTTACAGTGCGTTATACTCTAGATGTGTGAACGATCAAGTAGATGAAAACTGGATAGATGATCCAACTCAGATCATAGTACTTGATGGGTTGTACTCTTCCTGGAGGCTGGTGACAAGGGAAGTGCTGAAGAGCTCTCTCTGTTGGGACCTGTCCCATTTAACATGTTTGTCAGTGACCTGAGGAAGGCAATGAACTGCTTACTCAGACAGTTTGCAATGACACCAAGTCTGCAGTCAGGGCAGTGACGACAGTTTTGGTACAGTCAAGGGGAAGGGCTGCCATTCAGAGATGCATAGGCAGGGCTGGAGCGGGCCAACAGGAACATTATGAAATTCAGCAAGGACAAATGGAAAGTCCTGAACCTGAGAGGAATTTGCACTTGTCCTTGCAGCGATACAGGCTAGGGACTGACCAGATGAGGAGCAGTTTTACTGAAAAGGATGTGGTGATTTTGATAGACAGCAAGCAGAACGTTAGCCAGCAATGTGCCCTGACAGCAGAGAAATCACGATACTGGGCTATATGAGCAGGAGCACAGCCAGTAGATAGAGAGAAGTGATTGTTAGCCGTAGTACTTGTTAGACCACACTTAGAATACTGCACCCAGCTTTGGTCTTCAATATGGCAAAGACATAGATAAACCATAATACGTTCAGTAGAGGACCACCAGGATGGTCAGGAGATGGAAAACTTTCCCTGTGAGGAGAAACTGAGGAAACTGGACTTTTTCAGCCTGGAGAATAGAGATCATCAAGCAGACTCAGTAGCAGCCTTCGAGTACATACAAGGAGATCAGTCATTGAAAAGATGGAGCTAGACTTTTCACAGTAATGCATGGCAAGGGGATGAGAAACAACAGGCATAAACTGAAACAAGAGTAACTGCATGTAGTTAAATGCTTTTTCTCTATGAGGACAGCCAAACACTGTAACAGGTTGCCAAATAGATTGTGCCATCTCCATCCTTGGAGGTTTTCAAGATGAGGCTGGGTGAAAAAAACTCTGAGCAACCTGGTCTAACCTCGTAGCTGACTCTGAGCATATCATTGGACTGGAGATCTCCTGAGATCCCTTCAATTTTGAATTATTCTATGATCATGCAGTTCTAACACAGTATCACAATTCCGTTCTATTTTAAATCTAGGATAGTAATAGCAACATCTTAATTGTTCTGAATATTTAAATGAATTGGCTGTGCATTGCTTTTGCTTTTGGAACACAGAAATGCTACATATGCTCTGTACGTTCTCCAAACAGCTTGTATTTGTGCTTATTTGCTGGTATGACGTGCTAACTGTGCAAAAAATTTTGGACTCTTGCCTTAGAATATAGATACCTGCCAACAGAAAATGAAGGCTACATAGCGGTGCAAATGCTTTCTCTGTCTATGGAAAGTGCCTCTTATGTGCCAGAAGGAAGCATTTGTACCACACACTTTTTTACTGTTCTCACATCTGTTAGCATTTACATGTGTCAGAAAACAATACCTGAACAGTACAGGGAAGGGATACATGAAGTTCAAGGGCATTGCATCAAGGAAAAGGACATGTTATATTGCACTGGTGTATTGGAATAAAAAAAAAAAATTTATTGGACTTGTCAAATATATCTAAACTGTGGGTATAGTCTGTGTATACTCTCTACGAATACATTTCCATACCTGAATTGGATGACGCAAATTGCCAATAAATTGAGCTGAGCCCAGGAAAGGATCAAGGAGTCAGGAAGTGAAAGAATTATAACTTTCTTGGTATATAAAAAGAATAAAAAATTATTTCATTTAAGGAAGGATTTATATAAAAATCTTCAAGTTGGATTCTTAAATATGGAATTACCTACTTATATTGAAATATTTTGCATTTTCAATAATCTTCTCTTCAGCTGTCCTTTTGTTAGCACAACAGGAGTAGGTTAACTGACAAATGTTGCTGTATATCCTCAGTCCTCAGAGGCAGCTACTGTGTTGGACTGTGTTTCCAAGAATATTTCTTTGAAGTCTTACTGTGAAAATCTTGAGACACAGTGTAGTACAGGATCTATATGACGTGGCAGTTCTTACAGATGTTACCACTGGCAAGTGATTTAGAAGAACAAAAAAACCAGAGCAACTGATCCTTGATCCCCTGAACTCAGAAGGAAAACAATGGGTGTTTGATACCTTTATAAAAATTGCTGGTTCCTTTGGCTGCATTACTAGCGCTAATTCTTTAGGCATCTATTTGGGTACTTTGAACCAGTATTGTGTAGTACACTGGTTTTTGATACCTAACCCTGATTTTCCAAAAAGCACCTGCAACAAAGAGGACAGACTCTCCCCTACGACCGTTGTTCTTGCTTAGTATTGAGCTCTTCCTGGAAAGTGATAGAAAAAGACCTGTTTTCCTAAGTCTTCTGAGCCCACAAAGAAGTGGTGGCTAAAAGAAGAAATAAATAATCTTGAATTGAGTCGCACCTAACATGTAGTCGTAATAAAAGCGAGGGTCTGGGTTTGCTTTTTGCAGTATTTGTATTAGATAACATACCTCCAAAGCGTTACTTTTGCGATGAACTTCTGCCCTTATGCATTTGTAAAAGTCTTCTATGAAAGTCTTAAAGAAAACCAGAAGTTAAGCATCTGATAAGACTTCTGGCCTTTGTGCCTTGTAGAGCAGCTTTATCATTACACAGAGACGTGTTCCTTGGTCTTGCTTCCAGTTGAAGGCAGTGGTGGAACTTCCACTGACTTCTCTGGTAGCTGACCCTTGCCCAGCTTTTGCATGGAAGTAATCTGTAATGAAGTATAAGAACATGAAGCTTTCTCATACCGTTTCTTCTCATGTCATTTTAACTTGTGCATCCTTTCAGGACTGTTCCTATTTTCAGAATTCTTGTCTAGCTACTTGTACATAGGCATCTGATTACAGTGATGGAAATATAGGAAGAAGAATTGCTAGAAAAAGTTATCATTGATGCTTAATTTGCATAATACTCTTTTGGACATAATGCAGGCTTATCAGAGGCACTCTCACAAGTTACATGTAGGGGTCAAAGGGTGAGAGGTGGCTGGCAAGCTGCTTGTTTTGTACATTTGGCTAACACAAATACTTCCTCAAGGATAAAATGCTTTGATCTCTCTAAGCAAATGCCATATGTGTGCAGCTGTGGCCCATGCCTCATGATTGCTGGAAGGTTAGAAAAAGGTAGCGTATGAATTAGATGTCTGCATTCAATTTATGCTTTTATATTTAGCAGTTCATAATTTTGTGTAATATTTTAGCTATATGAAAAATATGCACCAGAGTTGAGTGATAACAGATTTCTCTGTGGTTTGACTCAACATTGTTTGGGTGAACACAGAATCGTAAGTATTGCAGACTGAAAATATAGGTTTTAATTAGAACTGTCTGAGCTTCAAAATACCTCAGCGCGCGTTAAGCTTGGCAGATTTTCAGAAATCTGAGGGTTCTGTGGAGCTGATAGAAGCTGCTAAAGTCTTCTGTTTTCCAGCATATATTACCTTTGCAGTTGCATCGCTGACTTGCAACAGACTGGAGAAGTCAGATCCAAACCCATTATTAATGGTTTTCTGATATGTAAAAATGTTGTATCATCAAGGCCTGTCTTGTGTCATACTTGTGTTAAACAGTACCTTACTCCAAGGGAATTTCTACTGCAATAATTAAATGACTTCCAGAGTAAAAGATCTGCTCTGCATGACCAAAAAGCTGAATCGGCTCCAAAAGTTTAACACCTTTCTTGAGCTTTTTTTTTTATTTTTACACGCAAATGTTCAAGACTGATAGGCCCATATCTGCAACTCTCAAGCAGTTTATTGTGAGTGCTTTGCTGTAGCAATAAAGAAACCTACGGCAGTCAGTGGCACACAAGGGTCTGTTCACATGGATCCCATTTCATGATCAAGGCCAAAGCAAAAGGCATGGCTTTGTTTATTAAAAATCCTGAGTGTGATCAAATACACCTTTATATCTTGGCGGGAAAACCATGATGTCAGATAAAGCATATGCAATTTCTACTTACAAGAAAAGTCACAAACGATAGATAGGCATGATAAAATAAACAGAAAATCAGGGATGAAAATACCAATTCACAGGTACAAATATGATAAATATAAAGCATTACGTCCATGTGTACGTTGCATTTATGCATACAAAAATATACATACATGCACAGCATTAACATCATTTTTGCCATTTAATTTATATGTGTGGGTAAATTAATGTAATTGCTCTACATATATTTCAAATATTATTTAAATAATAGCACGCTTATTTGACTTTTTTTGTGTTGTTTCTCTTTTGTATTTTTGCTAGCTCCTACTGCCGATGGTAGGCTCTACGGATGAAACTCAGCAGGAGACGGCAGCTGGTTGCTTAAGAAACATTCGCAGATTGCTTCTAGCAAAAGAAAAAGCAAAGTATCGTTGATGCCTTAGCAGCTTTTACTACCACACTTGTTCTGCAATACGGCTACATTTAAAAACATGATTACTCTTCCTAGCATCTGTATTTCATAGCAGAGCTCATTTATGTGAGGATACTTTAAAACCAAAACCAAATCTGTGGAAAATTGTTTGTTTTAACATTATTGGTTTGTCACGCCTATGTTTTATAAAGCGCTTACACCTAGTTTTGTGTGGCTTTTAGTATTACATCTTTCAAAATCAATTAGAATTTGTCAAAGACATTTTCTACAATTAATATGCTTGTACTTGAAATCCACTGTAGATCTAAATCGTTTTGCTTATCTGTGACATTACAATAAATTTTCCGTCACTCTGTGTGTGCTTGTGCAGTGATTTATGAATGTCTTGAGCAATTCCCTTCATGCTAAACTTGTCCAATCATCCTGTCATTATGTTTTTGCCTGTTTGATCACTTGCAATTCACAAGAGAGGACAAAATGCAGATACATCAATCTCACATCTGGTGTTATATAAGAACTGCAAACAGCTGTAGCAGTAGACATCACTCCAAATTTCCTGTTTCTACCAACATCAAACAAAATAGTGCTTAATTTTATAAGTGGCTGGTGAAATGTGTTTTAATTAACAAGTGTTTAACTCAAAATTTACCAGCTGTAAATAAAAAGTAGAGTATTACGTTTACGCTTACACATTATCTTGTGGTTTTTTTCATTTTTAAACTGAGGACGACATTGTGTTGTTGTAGTTACTTTAATTTTTTTGTATAAAATTATGTTCAGAATTAGAATTGCTTCCAAAAATCACATAAATGATTACTGATATTATAGATTACAAACCCACTGTATGCATCATGCTCATCAAATAAGACTAAGGCATTTCACTGAGAGCAGTAATGTCTTAATTACAAGGACAGACTGCTGACAAAACTGAGAGAACTCAAATGTTTAAATAACTTGTGTTTGTCAAGTACTCACTTCTGAATTATTTTTTTTACTTCTCTTAATAATTAACAATATTCTTCTTTTGGAAACAGTTTGTAATTCTATTATTTTTCCTCTATCTAGCACGGCTACTTAAGGCAACTAATTTTACTGCTGACAGAAGCTTCTAAGGAAGACATAACGCAAATCCAACTTTTCATTTGTGTTTTCTCTGAAGCAGGCATGAAGGCTCATTTAAAATTTCATTTTAGAAGACTGAGGTAATTCTGAAAAAGAAGGATTGCATTAGGCCCTTAGGGAAGGTGTAGAGTATTTTAAAGGAAACCAATTATGGACAAGTGCTGACAGCGTGGAGATCAAAATATTAATCCAAGTAATATTTTTTGATGAATGCAAACACCAACATAGTTGTGGGGTTGTCACAAGTTCCATCAGCAACCAGTGACCAAGCAAACGTTATTTTAGGTATTTTCCAACTCTGCCCCTTAGGCCTGGTATGTTATTTTGAATAAATATATCCATATTATTATACTGATGTCACAGCTGTAGTAGTATCATGTGCTTCATCGCTGTGCCCAAAAATACTTCTAAAATAAATGCTAATTGTCAAATTCATTGGGGAGAGGCGAGGCTTGATTTTATTTTGGTCTCTACAGTGAGAGAAGCTGTAGATACAAATAGTTTGTCACCATCTTGCTTATATAAAATGGTGGCTTATTTTTCTAAGCATTGAGGGGAAAAAAAACCTCCTTGACAGTAACTGTTGTCCTTAACATGACCTCTCTAGGCAATCGTGGCCATTTATTGTGGATTTCAAATGGAATAAGATCTAAAGTAAACTTAATTTTATGATACAGGTGTCAGAGCAATAAATGTCATGTTCCTGACAATGAAATGGCCTCAGCTTGCCATTCTCACTCACACTGGTAGCCCTTGTGCCTCGGAGTAGTTCATCTCAAGTCTTTATTTAAAGACCTCAGACAGTTAATCCTAAATTTAAGCTGACTTATTTGTGCTGTTTTCTTTTCCTTTATTATGCCTGTAGTTTTCAAGTTCTGTACAAGAAGAAATGTTGAAATTGATACAGATCACCACACAGATCAGTATTAAAGAGAATAATAATCTTTTCTGGCCAAAACCAGTGGATTCCACATCATGAATATAAAGAGATTTAGTTGCTGGAAAATGAGTAAATGAATGTGAACCCTGGCCTCTCTGAGCGGTGCAGTACAGCGTGTACGTTTGAAAAGCTTCCACTTTGTCCGCAGAGCTGTGTCGAGTTTCGCAGCACTGCAGCCCTCTGAAAAGGGATCCTCACAAAGCTGGGTCCTGCTTGGTGCTCACACCCCCCTCCTGGCAGCGCCCGACAGCCTATTCAGGCGCTGGCACCAACCCGCTCCTGGCGTTCCCACCACGTTCCCACCGGGTACCACCGGGCACCAGCCACCTCCTGCGCCCCAGCTCCTGGGCCTGCAAGGGAAATGCCTTCACTCCTTTCTCTTTCCACCCACTGCTACTTATCCACATAAACCTGTAGCCTCTTAGGAAATATGGTCATACTGAGCACAGGAGCTCAATATTGTATTCAGCACAGAGCAATTCAGTGTACAAAATCAGTAAAGAGGCTTATTTTCGTTGAAAAAATGAAGTGCGTTAAAAAGGGGGACCGACCTATGCCCTATTAATTTGCTGTTGTCTGCTCCCTCCTTGTTTTCTCTACGTGATACCTGTATTTCCACAGTCTCATAATAGAGTGGGTTTGGGATTTTTTTCAGTTTATTTGCAGTAATGTTGCCATCAGTGGGAAGTATCCACCGCTTTTCACAATTTCAGGAGCCAGCGCCCAGCTCTGCACAGCTCCAACTGGCAGCCATAAAGCCAGTCCTGCTCGTTTTCACCTTCCTTTCTTATTTTCATTAAAATGTCAGAAAACATAGAGGCCAAGTAAGAAACATCACAAGAAAGTGTTGGTTTGAGTATGGAAATACTATAGTTGATGAGAAAAAAAGCAAGAGAGAGAAGAAATCTTTCACCTTTATGCAATTATTTCTGGAACCATAAAGGCCTGCCACATCTTTCAGTCTATACGTCTGTCAGCAGCAAGATACTTTTTCTTCTACTACTCCATGACTTTATGATTTATTGCTTGGTGACAGATAACCATTATCAATAATTTAATTGCCCCAGGATGTTCAAACTACACATTTGAATCTGGGATTTATGTTCATTTCCTCTTTAATGTTCATGCTAATGACAAGTGCATGTGCTCTGACACACGATATTGTCTCCAAGTTGTTAGGGAAATATAAACTTCACAGCCTGGGTGCAATGGATCTGCGATGTGTTAGAAGCTCTGTTATTCTGCTCTGTCACTGAAACTTTACTTTGGCGAGTAAATGAGCTTGAGAGTCACAGGGCTCTCTTGAGATTTGACTAATTTGCTTTTGGCTAACTGATCTCTTTGTGTGAAAGCGTGGCACCTCTTTCATTCCACGTCTCCTAAAATGAGTCAAATGAGCTGCTGACGCCGGGGGTCAGATGTGAATTGTCCCAGAGGTCTGAACTAGATAATATGTTAGTTTAAGAATTTCATCTCATAATAAATTAAATGGTTGTTCCTTGCACGTTTCCACCAAAAAAATCTTTGTTTTACACATGACAGCAGGATGACTGCGATGGAAACATGTAATGTGTTTCTTCAGCAGTGGTATTCAAATTTCCATGCAGGCTGTTAACACAGCTTATTTCCAGAGCTAAAGCTGACTGCTCCCCAACTGTAAATTGTGGTTTGTCTCTTCTTTAGCCACTGAAGCTTTGCCACACACTGCTCAGGATCCAGAACAACAGAAGGAAGCGATGCTGCATCTTGGCCACTTCTCAGTTCAGACAACCTAATCTTCCACTGTTTGGTCACCTGACATGAGCCAGGACCGGTGTGTTTACAGCCAGCAGGAAGTTACATTGCAGCAGGAAGTTTACATTGCAGCAGGAAGTTATACTGCACCATTTCTGAATTAATTAATTTTGCCATTTTTTTTTTTCCTTCTCTGCTTAAGCAGAGAATCTTTCCCAATGCTCAGTATCTTGCTGCTCTGGTTACTGAAGCTGGACAGAAATCACGCATTTTTATGAATCTTTTCTTTGAGTGCAATTTTACATGGTAACGTGTGCTTTTCATCCTCTTGCCTAATTACCAGTTCAATAGTACTCATGTCTTGCTGGAAAGGATTCCCATGGACAGCATCACCATGGCTTTTGATCATCCTCTCAACTTGTTTCTGTGTTATCTGCCAGACACCTTTCAGTTGGCAAGTTCCTCTCTTTTCCAGCTATTGTCATTGGCACATTGTGTGTTTTATTCTAGTCTACATGGAGTACGGTGCCCTTCAGCTGCTTGATATTTCTTTTGCATCTGTAATCAGTTCTACTTTGAACAGAATTGTTTTCTTTCTGAAAGGCTCCTAAACCTACATAAGCAAGTTTTGACTTTGGCTACCATGTAATATGATGTGGCCTAATCCTGTCACTTTTGCATTTCTTCAGTGGCACGAAACCATCTTCACTAATTTCATGTGTTTTCTTCCATCACTTGGAAATCCTGACATGGTGACGAGATAGTAGTTGGCCAGTCAAAACCTTTGTTTGTTGTCACTTGGAGTGTGTACTGGAGAGGGACCAGAAGAATGAGATTATACTAACGCTGAACCATGAAACAATGGGCCATGAAATAGCAGTTTTCAGTCAACTCCCCCTTGCACCAGGATCCTGAGTGCCTTTAAAGCCTCTCCCATTCTTTATTAGGTGAGTATCTGCCTAGAAGCTTTTGAAGGGCAAAATTGTTCATTATAGTCTTGGTAGTAAGGTTTTGTCCAGCCACGCTGTGACACACTCCACTTCTCCAAGGGGCTTAGTGAATGCAGGAGAGCAAGGCAGAGGAGCTGTTGTCTGGTGGGTGCATCTGGAAGCAGAATCTTGCTCCAATGGTCGAACCTTGAACTGCACCTTCCAATACCCAGATTAAATAGCTAGGGATTTGTGTACTGCTTCTAAAAAAAAGAAG